AATTGAAGAATCGTTTCCTTCAACAGATTGTTCTGTTTTGTTCAACTTTATGATAATATTTTGAATGAGTGCAAATTCACGATAAAATAAATCACATGCATACATACATGCTCACATATACGTCTTTATTTTATGGTATTTCTGTGAAAGAATTCGAACACAACACAAATGAAACGAATACACGCAGTCAACTGATTGTTACTGATCATCTCGTAGCGCGATTGACTCAAATCATAGTTTCCTGCCGAAAATATTTCTTGAAATGAAATTTGAAAAATTCACTGAGTATTTACACGAGTTGATATCTGGTGATTTAAAAAAATACCTGCTTGCACAAAATATATACGTCGAATATGCGTCGGAAAATGAACCGGAACAACTCAAAATTGATGAAATGACAGATGACAGAAACCTTCACACATGTTGTCACTAACGAATCGGAATCGAGAAAAATCATCTGCCTGATCGCAAATGCGGAAATCAATCTGTCATCTGGACGATATTCGAGGAGAACAAAAAATTCTGTAATAGTTCATAGGGTATTGCACGTATGAAAATCAAAAACAGAAACGAGTTGGTGTTGTTCTTCACTTTATGAGGCGTCCTGAAGGGATGATGGCCTCAGATGGGCATCGTTCATCGCACTCAACATCACGAACGCAACTAGCAGAAGTGCTGTACCTGAAAAGCACAATCTATACGGTGTGAGAAGAAACGCCAAAAAACGTTAGAGATGCGCGCTGTTGAGGTTAGCGTACTGTACAGTGTCAGTTCATTCCAACCAATCACAGTAGGCCATTTACAGTAAGAACACCGTTCTTGGCCAATAGAAAAGACGTTGCGCTCGCTTATCGTACAGCATTCAATTTTTCGTGCTATTAACGGTGCTATAGCGGAATGAGTACGATGGCATAACAATTAGGTTACTCTGTTCTGTATTATTGCGTAAATGTTATATAGTATGCAATCATGTTAGAATTTCTAACTGTTATATTTTGCTATTCACACATTATAATGCAGTTCGGTAAATGCCTCAACCTCACATGATTTTCCACTGCCGTACCATAACCGAATCGAAACAGTATTGCAGAGCAGACTTTAAGAGACTAAAAACTGATTGAACGACTGCAAAACGACTGATCAGCAACTATGGCCAGCAACTTACCTAAGAGGTCACCGGTAGAAGTCAACAAAGGTATTGCCGAGGAGTCTGGATCTATGCCATATCGCCACATGCAACGAATCAAATATTGACACAAAAATAATAATATCACCACCTGAAATGGAAATTGTTTGAGGGAGCACAAGACGAATTTCCTGAGAAGCTTAATAGACCATAAAATGAATCTTCTGAGTAACTTAAGGGAACACTGAAAATGAATTTCCTGAAAAATTCTGCCAGAACATTATCAATCAAGTTCTAGAAGTGAACCTGTGCGACCGCTGCAACCAAATACAGTCCGATGAAAAGTGGTGAAAACGCGATATTGGCAATGAGCATAATTGCTGTGACGAATATCAAATGACACGGTATACTCATCAGAAGTAGAATCCGTGCAGCCACCGAATCATTTTCTGAAATATTCGCTGCGATTCAAGAAGTGATCACAGTGATCAATTTGTCTATATGTACCAAATATTGTGTTGTATTCAGTGATCACACTCGTTGATATGTGGTAATTGAAAAGCGTAGGGGCGCGCACGATTGAAAGGAAAACTTTGGAATTGAAATGTTGTTACATGATATCAAGCTTGAATGTTTAGGCTTACCTGATGAAAGGAACGCCCTGAACGGACTAATGAATCGAAACAGGGGACCGTTGGGTAGGGAGCCAAGCTTGGCGGCCTGATATAGCGATGTCGATATGCGACTGGCTTGAACGGCTACTAGGTTACCGCCAACACCTGAAAATCGATCCGCTGCAATTAAATTTGCAAAAATTCAAATACTTCAAATGCGCTCGCAAATTCAGCAGAATAAAAGTGACCACTTCCGAGCTAGAAAAATTGAGGAAATGCTCGCGCAATTGTTGTTTGCAGTGAGTTGACGTTATCGGCATGAGCACTGATTGCGGGATGGATATAATGAGAGAATTTACAGCAACTAGTGAGCAATTCATCGCTTAACATTTTTTGAGAGACCAAAAAAATTTGTAAAAATGTCTTGCAAAAATTTCAAAGAATCAAAGACATTAGTCACTCTCAATGACACGACTGACCGTTGACAACTGGTTGAAAGACGGCGATATTTGGATAGGAAACCATCGCAACTTTCAGAATGAAACCTCCACCACTGAAATTCAAGATAAATATTATTCCGGAGAAAAAATTCTTCTCATGCTGCTGCTATCTTGAACAAGCTCAAAGAACTTATCGCAGGCAACAATTAAAGCGTGAGGTATAAGAGAAACAATCGCAATTTCCAAAGCTGACCTACTAATGATCATCGCGCAAATCACTGGCCACCAGCCGTACTTGAGCACGACCAA